CTGCCACTGTAATGCAATCTCTAAGGATGGAGATAGGCTATAATACTGCATTCTTTATATCTCATTTAATTATTGTTTGCAGTTGGTAGTAGGTGTGTGTTTAGAAAATACGTGCACTAGAAATTACAAAGAATCTGTACCTTGAACCTTCGCTGAGTATTTTTGTTCATATCAAGTTAGTTTCTGCCTTACGAAGGATATAACTGTTATGTTAAGATGAATAACGCAGCCCCGAATGTCTTGGTAGGGGAAATGTGCACTTTCTACACAAAAATAACAATTTTAGTCCGTAAGGATATGCAGTAGATATTCAAAAAAAAAAGAAAAAAAAAAAGAAAAAAGAGACAAATAACCAACAAGCAGATGGATCTCTCTCTCGGTTACATGATCAGAAGTCATTGCTCAGAAGACTTAGAACAACTATGGACAGTTGTATAGACGTGATGCATTATGAAATGAAGTTGAATGTTTCAACAAAATAATAGTGGCTACAGTATCAGAACAAGGAACATTCACGAGTAGCTTTTGTTCAAGAAAGGTGATAGTTAACACTTGGATTAAGGTGAATAGAACAATGGATACATGTACAGGTTACATTAAATTAGGATGAGGATAGAAGGTAATAAGAAATGGGAAATATCCCCAGAAGGAAATATAATAATACTCTGAAAATCAAAGTGGGAGCAAGCCTCACCTCGAAAGCTAATCCACAAACAGTCTGAGACTTCTGATTCTGTATAATTTCTTTAAAAAATAAAGTCTTCCTGATAATTTGCATATCTGCCAAATGATATAAACATCCAGATTCCAGCATAGTTTAGTGATTCTTTTCCAAGGACAGCATTAAAGCTAAATTCGAACGGCCATTTTTCGCAGGGCATCCACACTAGTAGAAGCTAGAAAGCAAGCACCCTATTCCATGCTGTTCTAGTTAACAATCCATCACCTGCACCCTATTCCATGCTGTTCTAGTTAACAATCCATCACCTGCACCCTATTCCATGCTGTTCTAGTTAACAATCCATCACCTGCACCCTATTCCATGCTGTTCTAGTTAACAATCCATCACCTGCACCCTATTCCATGCTGTTCTAGTTAAAGGGCATCCACACTAGTAGAAGCTAGAAAGCAAGCACCCTATTCCATGCTGTTCTAGTTAACAATCCATCACCTGCACCCTATTCCATGCTGTTCTAGTTAACAATCCATCACCTGCGCCAATGAAACTAACTCCTGAAAAGCAATTTCTCCATGATCCAAGAGAAAGAAGACAGCATGTGATCAAGATGCAAGATGCAAGATGCAACAAGTTTAACCTTAACGATTTAACATACCAAAACTGCTTTTTAGCAAGAGTAAGCATGGACCATTAGATTCATTACAAAGTATAGACTTTGAAAGCACAAAATAGAAAATAAACCTACTTAAGTTTCGGATCTATATGGTGGCATTTATGGCTTCAGGTCTTAGTACGGGAGTGCAATTAGTAGAAAGAAATATATAAGGTTGCTCTTAGATTTACTAGGGGGCTTCTCCTTTCAACTCCACCGCTCTTTTGATAGCTTAATACAGAGAGCAAGACCACATACTTGGTTTTATAAAAACATAATGAAACAATTGATCATGTATAATGTCGTATAAGAATGCCTAATCACAGAATAATGCATTATTGTTTTGAATATCCTCGACATGGCCCGATATATTGTTTTAAATATCCCCGACATAGCCCGATATATTAGTCAATATATCCTTTTAGTAAAAAAGATATGGTCTAAATATCCTTTACTGCTTTTGACAATATTGGGCGATATATCCCTAACATGACCGATATATCAGTCAATAATGTTGGTCGATATGTGCTTTTATACAGCTTGTCGCAAAACAATATATCGCTTTTGGCAATTCTTGGGCAACATATCATGATTTTCCCAATACATCAAGTGGCATTTTAGCCTTAAAAAATTGACCAAAATGTTGGAATGTCGATTTGGACTTTTATTTGTTTTTAAAGGTTGATTAGTGATCTAAACATATATTATTTATATTTTTGTACACTTAGATTTCATTAAGTATGTTTAGATGACATTTTAGAACTATATATCATAGATGCACATCATCCAATATAGTACTCTGACGTTTACCATGTACTCCCGATATCTACAATCAGGTATAAGTTTTGGTCATCCGATATTTTTCCGGTATCTGATTTTTAGAACCTTGGTTAGTAAGCAAGCCAATAGGAAAGATTCATGAATGTGCAAGCGCAATTTTACAAGAAAACAATATAAAAATAGTATGGAGAAGTACTTCTTTGTCATTGCATGAATATATTCAACTCTCACTTCTATTTCATCTCCAGTGTTAATTCTTCAATTCTCACTTCCAGCTGGTTTTCCATATTCGTATTCCTTTTTTTACCCCTATCTTACCAGTTTCGCTCTGACTCTAGAGATGGAAATGTTTAAGCATCATCAGTTATATCAACCTACTAAGTGCTTTCCTTTATCTAACGCCTCTTGATATTTCCATTCTCTCTAAATAATTTCCCAGGTCAATTTCCTCTGCTAAAACTTTCTGATGATGAATATTTTCTTAGGGCAGGCTGCTTGAATCAATTTTCTCTCTTCAGGGAGCAACTGTATCCATTAATGTTATGAGATTCTAGGTGATCTGCTGCATAATACATATGCAGACAGTGTGCTAATTTTATCATTATCATTATTATATTAGATTTTTTTGGGGCAAGAAAACAGCGTGCTAACGCTGCTGTTGTGGCTGCAGTTAGAGAAAAATATTCTCTTGAGCATAACTGTAGGTTGAAAACGTATTGATCTAGGAAATAGAAATAACTTGACCATAAAAATGAGTAGATAAAGCTCAAAATTTGCAAGAAACAAACATAAATAAGAAAATACAAATTTGCTTCCAGTTAAATTTACTGAGAAATTAAAGGCCTACAATTTGAAAATGTAAAGGTCACCATGCTGAATGTCAAACTTTTTGCATTTTTATAGAAGAAATGTAGCTGTTTCCTTCTCCAGTTAATGCAAACTACCTCTTTCCAGAAAGTGGCAACAATAAATGACAAGGCAGAAGATAGATACTCCTAAAATGCAAGCATAAAGTTTCTTAGATGAAAACATACCTTGCAGAATTTCTGATATTTTGTGTTATCTGATTGGCTATGTCCTCGATCATAAGCAGGGATATCAATGACTCGATTGATTCTCAAATTCGCAAAAGTACTCCCAACAATATTAGATATATCTATCGTTCAATAAGGAGGTAACTTTGAATCAAAAAGATCAGAAAACTCCCTGTGAATAGTTCCGCTAGAGGATGCTCAATGAGCATTGGCATTCAGTTACATGGGATACATTTAGCAGTTAGCACAAGTGCCCCATGGCAGTCAATAGCAATTAACTCATCAAGGGTTGAAGGAATTCAATGCTAGACTCTAAATATTAATTATAATTTCAGATATTTCCCACTTTTTCAAGTTTGCCTGCAATCTAAACAACTCATTTCGACAATCATCTGCTTGTTGATGAGATTCATCATCAGCAGAAAAAATATTAACAATTCCCTTTACATCAATCCAACTTAACCCAGGGTCCTTTTCCAGCATTAACAACCTAATCTTCTTCCTAATCTCAGCTGCATCATCCCATCTCCCGATAGAAGCATACAAATTTGAGAGCAAAATATGGCTTGGACTATCATCTGGCTCCAAACATAGCACCTGCTCCGCTGCATAAATACCCATATCCAAATCCCTAAAATTGATGCATGAGCTCAGCAAAATCCTCCATAATTCTGGGTATTTTCTGCCGAAAGGTGAGTTTACTATCATCTCCTTGGCTTCTTTCAAAAGCCCGGTTCGGCTTAACAAACTTACCATACAAGTATAATGCTTAACACCTGGGATCACACCATCACTCATCATACAAAACCAGTAAAACCTCCCTCTATCAACTAAGCCGCGATGGCTGCAGGCAGAGAGAAGAGAAACATAGGTGACATGATCGGGGTCTAATCCTTGCCTTTTCATCTGACTGCATAGCTTAAATGCTCGTTCAGCATCTCCATGGTTACCGTACCCTCCAATCATTGAATTCCAACATTTCAAATCTGGGTTTTGAATCCTATGAAACAATGAAAAAGCTCTATCCAGATAACCACTTTTAGCATACATATCGATCAAACTTCCACTGACACACATATTTTCTTCATACCCTGTTTTCACCACCAGTGCATGAAGCATTTCTCCTTGTCTCAATGCTGCAAGGTCCGCTGATGAGCTCAATGCACTACAAAGGGAAAAGGTATCAGCTTTATGACCTTCCTCTAGCATACTACTGAAATACTTAATAGCTAATTCACCCTCACCCAATCTTGAATAACCAACAATCATCTCCGTCCAAATGACAACATCTTTCTCAGGGATTGATCTGAAGATATCCAAAGCAGCACAAGGATCCTCGTTCATAAAGTACATATTCACAACTGTGTTCCCCACAAAGATACTTCCCTCTAGCCCTGCTTTACAAACTTCAGCATGTAGAGGTTTTCCATAGTAAATGTAGGGTAAAGCAGCGGTAGCTGAAAAGATAGCAACAAATGTGTACTCATCTGGCTTCATCTCTTCAAATTGAGACAAAGATTTTAAGCGGACAAAAGCACCCATGGCCTCCTCTCCCTCCCCAGAATTTGAAAACCCAGATATCAATGAATTCCAGGAAACCAAATCCGGCTTCTCGATGCTCTCGAATACAGAGACAGCTGATGACAAGTCATCACAACTAGAGTACATATCAAGCAATGCATTCTCCAAAGAGTTATCAACGAGCATCTCAGATGTAATAACATGTGCATGTATAACTCGGCCCCTAACCCAATCCCCCATCCTCCCACAAGCACTCAACACAATCGAAAACGTGAAACGATTTGGCAACAACCCATCTCTCATCATCCCATTCAACATCCTCAATCCATTACCAAAATTCCCGCTCCTCACATAACTAAAAATCATACAGTTCCAAGCAACACTATCCCTCTCCTCCGTCTCATCAAAAACCCGGTCAGCAGACTCAACATCTCCACAATCCGAGTACATCCCAAGCACTGAAGTCTTCACGTGCACATTCCCATAAAAACCAGAAGCCAAAACTCTACAATGCACTCCAGCACCAACGAATGGGTCCTCAATCGACCCCGATGCATGTGCAAGGCTCGTGAAAGTCGTTGCATTAGGCTTAAGATCAAACCAAGATAACTCTCTGAACAGTTTGAAAGATGAAATGGCATGTTGAGGGGATTTAGAGAATGAGGAGATTAGAGTGTTGTAGGTGATGAGGTTTCTCGTGGGCATTGTGTCGAACAGTTGGTTGGCATTCGTGAAGGAGTTGCATTTTGCGTACAGATTGAGGAGGTTGTTGAAGAGAAAGGGGTTTTGGGTTGGGGGAGTTGAGATGAGAATGAAGGCATGGATTTGGCGCGCTTTTTTGAGAGTGGTTGGTGATGGGAATTTTTGTAGGAGGTAGAAGAGCTGGGTTAAGGGGAGCTCGTAGCTGTAGTGGGAATAGAGAGAGGTTGATCCCATAAGAGGGGGTGAGAAAAGTGAATAATGGGTTTTATAAGAGTTCTTCCCTCTATGGTTAATATAATAAAGGGATACATTTCTATTTTTAGGGAAAATTGTGTAGAGGGCCTAGAGGCCCTAAAAGCAGAAACTTCATGTGACGAAGCTAATTGTATTTCCCCTTATGTGGATAAGCCCCAAAAAAGCAGCGCTTAATATTTCCAGGCCCCTCCACGTCAGCGGTATACAAAAAAGCAATTGTATTTTAAAAAACCCGAGTTTGTCATTCTCCTTCGTCCCCAGACGCTTCGTCCCAAACACTATATCAAGTCACGTCCCATTAAATGCAAACTGTTATAAGAAATGGAGGGAAACCCTTTTTTTCCTCTATCACGAGCAATAATTATTTAGTTCTCCATTACTCTTTCCTCAGACGTAAATTCTCTCCATTACTCTCTCTATATTACTCCTCTTTGTCCTAAATATGATCCATTACTCTTACCTCCACTTCATAATGACTAAAAAGGATATCTTCTGCATTGTCGGTTCGGGGGATAGAGCAGTATTCATGAAGATTAACTCTTCAACCACCATTCTGGATCTAAAATTTAATATGGCAGAGAGGTTAGATCTTCCATATGATTCATTAAATTTGTCATACAAGGATGAAACAAATGGAAGCTTTAAATTCCCCATTGAGAACAAAGATGATCTGTCATCTATGGTGGAGCATTGCCATAACAGAGGATTAAAGGAGGTTCACATGCAAGCTTTCAAAGAAACAGAGGTCTATGGTGGAGCATTGCCATAACAGAGGATTAAAGGAGGTTCACATGCAAGCTTTCAAAGAAACAGAGGATTCTTCAATAACAGAGGATTAAAGGAGGTTCACATGCAAGCTTTCAAAGAAACAGAGGATTCTTCAAAAGTCCACAACAACGAGCAAGTTCGATAAGACATGTAGGGGCAAGGATTTTTTTTTGATGCTAAGATCAATATTCATGACGTTAATTGTAAAATCAGTTAATGTTAGTTCATGCTAGTTCCATATTTGGTGTAATTAGATTTTAACTCTGATTTGAGCGTATGTTAGCTCTAATCGATTTCATGTCAGTTCTAACCGCTGTGATTTCTAGTTACAGCTCTATGCCAGGTCAAATTTGTTAGTTCCAAATGATATCTTGTTAGTTCTAAACTTTTTCTTGTCAATTCTATTTCCAGTTTTATTTTAGGTCAAGTATGCTAGTTCTAATCGATTCCATGCTAGTTCTAAACGTTCTATTGTTAGTTCTAATCGATTTATTGTTAGTTCTTGTTCTACGTGAATGTATTAAACAAGTATGTTAGTTCTAATAGATTTATTGTTAGCTATAATCTATTAATTGTTAGTTCCAATCGACTTATTGTTAGTTCTAATCGATTTACTATTAGTTCTAGTTCAAATTTTTTGTTAGGTTCAATATGTTAGTTCTAAACGATTTCATGTTAGCTCTAATTGAAATCTTGTTAGTTCAATTGGATTCCATGCCAGTTCTAACACAAACAGTTGTTGTTTTTGCATTTTTCTTACTTGTGTTATTTGTTGATGTTTCTATTGTTTAGTTTATAATTATTTATTTATGTTCTTTATATTTGTAGTGCTTCCAGCAGTATGAACTCAAAAAGTATAGAGTGTGGCCCACTGTTGTCGACGCCCACATGTGTTTCAGATAGGATCCCCAATGACAATCCTTCTGGAGATAATGTTCTGATGATTGATGACATGATTAGCAGATCAGAGAGGATTCCTGCTTGGTGACACACTGCTTTAACCAGTGAGGTACAACGGTTTGAGAGTGCGAAGGAATTAAGATTGTCTTTGCTATACTATTCCATGGCCAAAAAATTCGAATACTTGTTTGCCAAGAATGAACTGAAGCGTATTCGAGTCGTTTGTCGGTTCAAGGAAGCCCAAAATTACCCGTGGATGTTATTTGCCTCTCCAACACAAAATGAGAACAGACTTGAAATCAAAACCTTCATGGACAACCACACTTGTGGGCGGCATGGCAATAATGCAGGTCAATTTAGGGCCTCTCGACAATTCATTGCGACCCAAGTACTACCCACGTTAAAGGTCAGACCGGATTTACGACCTATCGACGTACAAAAGGAGTTTCTAAGTTCGTATGGGCTTAAGGTCGATTATAGTAAGATATGGTGGGGTAAAGAAAGAGCACAAGAGTAACTATATGGTGATGCCCATGAGACCTACGATCAATTACGATGGTAAAAGAAGATAATATCTACAATATACACACTAATTTCATTTATGTTACGCTGTATATATTAATTTGAAAAATATTGATCCTAACACCTAATCTTCAATAGTCTAGGTATGTAAAAGAGGTTAAGAAGACAAACCCAGGTAGCTACATTCATGTTGAACAACATGAGGGGAGGTTTTCAAAGCTATTCATTTGTTATGCCGCCTGCATAAATAGTTTTTTGAACGGTTGTAGACCACTTATATTTTTGGATGGTACCTTTCTGAAAGATCGATTCAAAGGTATACTCCTCAGCGCCGTGGATCATGATGGAAATCAGGAGATATTTCCATTAGCCTATTGCATTTGCGATCAGGAAAATACCGTCAACTGGAATTGGTTCTTACAAGGTTAGTTCTAACATAGGTCATGTTATTTCTATTACAGTTCATGCTAGTTCTAACTCATTCATTGTTAACACTAACTTCAAATATGTTAACTACAAATATTTATAGGTTTATGGTCTATTCTCTATGAAAGGCTAGATCCAAACAATCCTCCACACAAGCTAGTTATAATATCTGATGCAGATAAGGGGATCAGAGAAGCAGTCAGAGAATTTTTTCAGATGCTATGCATTCTAGATGTGTTCTGCATCTAGTTGAGAATTTCAGGACAAAGTTAAGGGATTTAGGTTTCAAGGCAAAGGATGCTTAGATTTTGGGGAATCTTTTGCAATCTGCTTATTATAAATATACTAAAGCAGAATGAAATGACTATGTGGATGACATTAGACTGGCGAACGAACGAGCCTATAATATTGTCATAAACTACACTCCAGAGAACTAGGCTAACACATTTTTTTCCGGAAGTAGGTAAGTTATAAGATATTTCATTTCTTATTTCAGTGAAGCTGTTTGCCTAAGTAAATTAGACATGAATGCCTACATTGGAACTAACTATAACCCAATTAGAACTAACATAGGCACTATACCCAACACTTATAATAGAACATGTGTAATGGCTGTAGGTAGAGATAACATGATAACAATTAGAGCTGACCTCACAACAGCTAGAACTAACAATAACTCTGTAGATCTAACATGGCAATAGAACCAACACTTACACTATAACTTCTGTTAGATGGACTTAGAACTAACACGCTAACATCTAGAACTATCACGGGAGTAGCTAGACCTAACAATTACTCAGCTAGAACTAACATGGCAATAGAACCAACACTTATACTAGAGTTACATCCAGCTGGAGGTCGAACTAATATGAGTACACCTAGAACTAACACTATAGCAGATGGAACTAACAATAACCCATTAAGAACTGACATAGCTACTAAAACCAATATTTGCACTATAACTAACGCTACCTGGAGCTAGAACTAACACGATATCAGGTAGAACTAACCCGGGAGCTGCTAGAACTATAATAACTCATCTAGAACTAACATAGCCATTAAAATCAATACTTACACTAGAACTAACAATAAATTTGTAGAACTAACAAGAAGTTTTGATAAATTCCCTGTTATGTTTCAGACATGGTTACGTTACATCAAATGTTACAGAGTCATTCAACAAATGGGTACATGAGGCTAGGCTTCTACGGATACTTCAACTGGTAGAGCATATACGTAAACAGATTATGGTTCGCATGAATGAGCGACGATTAATGGCTAAAAGTTAGAATGAATTTTTTCGTTCCAAAGTTGAACTTGCCCTCAAAGAGAACATGAAAAATAAGCATACATTGGATATGCGTTAGTCCCATACAGGATTATTTGAGGTACAATCCTATAGAATTTGCAAAGTGGATCTTGACAAAAAACATGCATGTGCCGTGCGTGGGATATAACTCGTATCCCTTACAAACATGCATGCACAACCATTATATTTATGAAGAGGGATGTTTACCAATTCTGTGACTAGTTTATGACGGTTGAAGCTTTTAAAAAGAGCTACGAGCCAATCCTCTATCCTCATCCCTGATTACGAGAAGCGTAGCATGCCACGGGATGAGATACAGATCTTACCACCACTAACAATAAAAAGAAAAGGGAGAAATAAAACTAGGCGTATCAACAACAGAATTGTTTACACCCGGCCACTTAAATGCTATCGATGTCATGTGGAAGGTCATAATCGTAAAACATATAATGAACCTATTGCTGACTAAGTGCTTGATATGTTGTTAACTGTTTTGCTTGTATATTTACAAACTAGTACGTTTTGTTTAATGTTGAAAGTATTCTCATGTGTGATGAGAACTAATATCATCTCCACTAGCAGAAATGTTGTAAGTATTAGAACTAATATGAGAGCATATAGAACTGATAATGACTAAGATAGAACTGACATGACAACATCTAGAACTGACACCACAACAACTAGAACTTTCAATAACTAAGCTAGAACTAACGTGTTCATTAGAACAAACACTTGCAATAGAATAAACACTTGCAATAGAACTTGCGTTAGCTGGAGTTAGAACTGACACGACAGCATCTAGACCTGACACCACAGCATCTAG